CTTCCAGACTTATTGCACGGCGTCATCATGGATGAGAGTTTTGGGCGAGAAAGCACGTTGACATAGCAGGAGAAGAGAGCTAGATCGCCGACAGCCCGTCGGAGCAAAACCTGCCATCCAACGAAACTGGATGAGTGCCAGGGCGCTTCTTGTTATCCAAAGTGCAGTGCCTTGTTTTGTAATCATTAAACTGTACCAGATTGTTGCGTCCCCAAACAGTGACAACCTCTCAGAAGAAGTCGCTGCCAATCTCATTTTCTCTAGCTCCGGGCAGATATCGGGTTGGCATTCCGAATTTCTGGATGTAGAGTGCTGTCACCAGCATCAATATTTCGTTCTAGATAAACCTCAGGATGCAATGCTGCGTAGTATTTTAGTAGTTGTGAGTACTTAGATTTTTGCTTTTATAGAAATTAAGCAATCTGCTTTGCGAAATAGTAAAAATGCTGTCAAAATCTTATTAGTATATCGATGTACTAAACGAGTAGTCATGCACTTTGGGCCATTTCGCTGTGACGCATATATTTTGAAATATCAACCATACGAGTTCATAATTCAGCCTCCATTAAACTATATGCATAATATTATGCAGCACGAGAATTACCATAATATTCCATCTGAACAAATTGGTACATCACTGCATTTAATGGCTTCGTGATATGCATATAAAACCACCGAATGTAAACATGACTGCCCACATTTCTCTTCACCTTTTTTTACATACAAGCCAACGGTGTTATAGGTGATGGGCATTTCTTTTATGATTTTATTCTTCTGCTATATAGTTGTTTATACAAATAAATATAGTGAGCTACATAGAAAATGTTAAAGAATCATTAAGACATAAAATCTCAAAACTTAAAGTTACACTAAAAAGTTTACAAATAAAACTGCCATCTGAGACAGGTTTAAGACCATTCTTTTTGTAGAGAATCTAATAGTTATAGTAGATCTAATCCTGATTGAAACAGTGGAAACAGCAGTAGAAACGTAGTGAGCCAACGAAAAACTCGTTTTGACTGAATACTGCAATCAGCACGGCGATACAATTCGTCCACCGTTCAGCAATTCTGTGTTTTGAGGATTTCATACTTGTTTGATGGCTCCGATCTTTTCGGTCTTTCAGTTAGAAGTATATTTACACTATACCAACACGATTTGTATGAATGAGTGGATTTTTATAGTAAGCTATAAAATTAGCCAAGGCTTATTAATGTAAGTAACGATCGATATTCAAAACAACATCCAAAATTTTTGTTGCAACAAAGGATTGGTCAGTACGAGAAGTACTATTTTTCTTGATCCTCAGTATATTTTCTGAAGCTCTTAAAAGAACGGGCGCATGATATAATAAAGGGTGTCTCAGAAATATTTTCGTTTTTAGATCAGTCCTCTGGCGGAATACGCATGCTCCGGAGAAACGAGACAGTTGACAAACGTTTGGCAACATTGTTAAATTTTAGTTGCAATGGAGCGTTTTACAGGGCCGCAACGTCCTTTTTGTGTTCGCGAGTTCTATAAAAACAAGGATTCTTATGTGCTTGTACGTCGTTTGTACAGAAATCATTATAACATAGCAAGAATGAGAGATGTCCCAAGCGCAAATTTGATTAAATATTGGGTAAGAAAGTTCGAGAGCACTGGAAACACGTGTATTAGTAAACCGCCTGGACGGCCAAGGTCAGCAAGATCGAACGAAATTATTGAACGTGTGCGCCAGTCCGTTAACGAGGATCCCCGGCAATCATTAAGACTGCGTGGAGCGTCTCTAACTTTGCATAAGTCAACTGTTCATCGCATTATTCGCAAGGATTTGCATTTTCACCCATACAAGATTGTTGTTACACAACAATTAAAACCACAAGATCCCGCTAATCGATTAGAGTTCTGTAGAACAATGAGAGAGCATTTTAACGGTTACAACAACATATGGTTTTCTGATGAATCGAATTTTCACATTAACGGGCATGTTAATAAACAAAACTGCCGATATTGGGCCGAGCAGAACCCGCAAAATCTTCATGAGACGCCATTACACTCGCCTAAAGTTATCGTCTGGGCTGCTATGTCAGGGCAAGGAATCATTGGCCCGTATTTTTTTGAAGACAATCGTGGCCAAGCTCAAACTGTAACATCTGAGCGCTACTGCCACATGATTAGGACTTTTTTAACTCCAGCTATACAGAACCATGGTGGCTACAATAGAAACACGTTTTTCCAGCAAGATGGAGCGACTTCTCATGTCACGAATATATCCTTGGATGCTCTTCATCAGTTATTCCCAGAGAGGGTCATCAGTCGCAGAGGAGACATTAACTGGCCACCGAGAAGTCCCGATTTGACACCAGCAGATTTTTTCTTATGGGGATACCTGAAGAGTAAGGTATACACCCCACCGCCACAAGATTTGAGAGAGTTGAAGCAAAAAATAACAGATGAAATAAACGCCATTCCTCGAGCAATGCTTCGGAGAGTGATCGAAAACTTCAGTTCGAGATTAAGAGAGTGTGAAAACATGAACGGTGCTCATTTATCCGATACTTTTTTCCATAAATAAAATTAATGTTTAGGCTTTCGTTTGGTAATAAATTTATCTTTGTAAAAATATTCTAAGTATTTTTATTTATGGCATAAAATAAGAAAATATTTATGAGACACCCTTTACTAAACAATACAAATGACCACTATTAACGCTTGTTTTGATGTTTAAAAAACATATCCGGTGAGCGAGTAGCAGTACACGGTCTTTAGCTATGCTAATGAAAAATGCTAATTAACGTGACTTCTGTTTTGAGTAAGGAACAGATGGATATTCGACGGAAAGTTTACATGTAACCATTTCACTTATTGCACACACTAAGAAATGCTACCAGTGATTCAATAAGAATAACATTAGTCTGGAATTTTAGCACAAGAGTGGATTTCAATAACATTGAAATTTGGCGGTCTTTTCGACCAATCAAGTAAGACGTTGTTGAAATGCAATTTGATGCAAGCTGATAAATATCTCTGAATATCATCATATCTATTGAAATTTTTAATAAAGCCTTGAAAAAGTGACTGTATTTTAAACAAGAGCTCTTTCTGATTCTAACATTATGCTTTTGTCCAGATAAAATACGAAAACTATCATATATTTTGCTATTCCTTGTCAATTTACAAAAAACGGATTGATATAATGAATCCACCAATGAAAATGAGATAAATAATAGGTCGAGTATTTATTGGTGTTTACATACTATTATTATTCCTTTTAAAATGCAGTGGATATTTAACAAAAAATAGGGTGAAAAGACTTTATCATATAGGAGTTCGGAAGCGGGAGTTTGTAAATGTTTATTATATGGTAAATTCGTATAATCACTTATGGATTACAAAAATCAAAATAAACATAGATAAATCTTTAGCAAAAGTGAAAAAAACTTGAAGTTTACTCATCAATGAGGCATTTTTTTAAATTTTGATTGAACTATTGTATATAATTTTTGAATATTTAATAGACGGCGACGTTTCAATGACAAGCTGTTATCTCATATTTCAACAGTGTTTCGTTTTCAATACAAAATTTGACGGTGAGATTTTAAGCCCCATTCGCTATATTCGACTGACACTTTTGTGCTGCCACCCTATCGGTAGAAAATAACGGCCTGTTATACTGTCAGATTGATGAATTTGGTCCTAAGAGCATTTTTCTTAAGTCGGCTCATACGTAAGATTGATGAGAATGCAAAGTGTTAAAAAGTTGGAAACTTACTTTCTTAAAGATTATGATTTTCAATGATCTTAGCAACCTTAGTATTGGACAATTTACATTATGGAATAGTATCTTCATCAAACATAACATTCTTTTTTCTATACTCAGATGAACGAGAGCTTTAATAATTAAATAGTCCTACCCCTAACTTTTTATCCAAAATGCAAATGAAGTGGCATGCGTATGTCGGATCAAAGACGAAGCATCTAATAAAAGAGAGCATCGAATGCCGACAGTACCGAGAGACAGACAGATAGTCGTAGGATAGTAATTTGATTAACATATTCAAGTGGTCGACGACATAGAATTTTACAGTTAATTTGATTACCACAACGGGGGTCGCTAATGAAGAGCTTCTAGTTAAAATATACTCACTTTCGCTGATGGGGATGATGACTACACAGTACTAGCTTTAAAAAAATACGACCCGGCATAGTTCAGTCAAGCTAGGTATCACAAGTGAAACAACTACACATAAGCTGGTATTGGATCGATATATTCAAATCAACAACTGAAAATCTTGACGCCAATGATGGTGTTCGTGAATTTTGAAATGGGTTGGAAATAATAAAGAAACAGAGACATTAAATGAGAGAATTTGGCACATGCGTTTAGAAAATTTAGCAGCTATCTTACCATGATCTGCTCACCGTTGCAACATTATCAATATGTACAGTCTGTAAAAATTACTGCCAATTTTAGCCTGAAGGTCGTTTGTCACGGTTAGAAATTATGTGCTAAATTTAGTACGCTAAATTTCGAACTATAGGCAATTTAATATCTGAAAACCTTAAAAATAGGAATGTACCAATGCTTGAAAACTCAGTTAAAAATTATAATTTTTCAAATCGTCGGATACCTTAGTTAAAATTAAATCTTGCTTTACATGACCCCGACATGTATCTCGACATTATTTTGAAGCGATTGTTATGCCAAAGTTAACGAACTTTTGATTTTCGCAGACCCTATGCTCATCTGCATGTTTTCTTTGGTTTGTATGTATCTCAAAGCCCTGCATTTTAATGGGCAGACTTGTGCATATCCTGTACATAAATGTAAATGTAGAAATTCGTTTTTCTCTTTAAAGTGGACGGATGTAGGCACCAGCAGGGGACATCACTTGGTGTACTTCTGTGAAAATGCTACGGCAACATACACGTGCAATTAATTTAATGCACAACATGGCCACGATATCGCTCGTGTTCACGATCTCTGTACTTTATGCAACACAGATATGCGGGATGCACTACACAACCCTACCATACATCCATAAAGTCAGCGCCGGTTTGACCTCCATGGCAGACAGTCCTTCTAGCTAAAACAGAGACAATTTTATGTGGATATTTAAGTATATTCTTTAGCTATAGACAGTTAATAATAGCACTCTTGTGTTCAGGAGGCCTGGAATATTCCGCGTATCTCATTTTAATCTGGGACCTTTTTGTTGCATTTGAGTATCTCCTGCAGTTTATGAAATCACTGTAAGACTGTTTTAAAGCATGTTTGACACCCTTATTTATACTCCGGAATCTTTTATTGATTCCTTCCTATGCTTAATTCACTAGGTACACGTCTAGATTTACTCCGTCTTCACCCTACTCAGCATAAAACAAAAAAATGGAAAGTGGCATCAGCGGAAACTGTCCCTCCTGCGATTTTACCGCGATGCAGTTCTGTCAGGCGTTTATAGTAGCAATTAAAGAGGCACTCTGCAAATTGGCGACAGCTTTTCGCGCTAACTCAACAGAAAGGTCGGACCACCTTGTCTTCGGCTCGTAAAACGGATATCACTTTATAGGCGCAGATACAGGATGTAACAGTTTTGTAAATGCCTAGGAATGCGGTGTCGTCATGCCACCTAAAAAGCATACAACATTCCATGAGAAAAGGAAGACTTGCATTTTTTTGTTTTTAGAGTTGCCTTCACGCCCGAATATTAAAACTTATCAATACGACCAACCAATAACTTTCATGTGTCTTATTACAAATTAATAATTATCATTAGAGGCAATCCATTAGATAATCTTAATATGTAATTAATACTAGCACTAAGAACTCGCTGCTTCCTTGATCTCGTCTATAACCAAATGGGTATTCAGATCGGTAATAATATCCCTACGAACATACCAAGAAGCATATTCCGCAAAACATTCCTTCCCTTTAGATAATTCGGATGTTCGAATTCTTGGAGCAGACCCGTAGTTAACAACCATATTGCCAAACATGTTTTGAGAGTTAATAGGATGATTGATCATGATTTTGTTATGCAGCGATAGCTCTGAGAATCTTTCCAGTAACCAGTAGTACTGCTAATAACGGAGGTTCAGTTTTTCCCTCTTTCTTTATGGTAGTTTCACTTGAGCCTGATGTCAAGGGAAATTCCTATGTTTGTGTCCATTTCAATTATTGGCAGCAGTCTGAACGTCAATAACAGAACTTTGTAGATCATAGCTGGAATATCTGAGATATACAGAAATAAGGGTACCAACGGGAGGCACTATTGGCGTTGCGGTTACAATCTGACATAGATTAAAAAGCCATAGAGAAAAGAAAACTCTGTTTCAAAAGTCTGGTAACAACACCAACAATCTTGTACAGTTTAATGCTTCCAAATCACAGTACTGTACCTTGTCGAACAAAAAGCGGCCTAGTGCTCATCCGATTGCGATGGATGGCCGAGTTCTGCCAAAGAGCCGTTCCGAAATCCGCCGTAAAAAAAAACAAAAATAAGAAGATTCGTGTCGGAGTCATTCAGTGGGCCAGGTTTGGTTTTTAACTCCTCTTGTGATGTCTTAAAAACATATTTTAATGTTCTTATGTAATAGGCAGATTGTACAGAAGGGGTAACGTCCCGAAGTTGAAGTTGCTTTGTATAAGTGGTTTCTACAGCAGCATGTGCCTGTTTCATCACAGATTCTGCGAATAAAAGATAAACAATTTAAACAAAAAACAAATAAAAAAAAAAAGGCACGGAATACGATTTCTTGAAGTGTGTGGCGAAAAACTTTCCAGCGATATGAATGTCATAATACCATTCCAAGAAAAATTTCGGGCTGTGACTGATGAAATGAATTTAAATGCTGAACAAGTTTATAATGCTGATGACGACAGCGTTTTGAACAGCTCTACCTGACACTATCTGGGTTCATAGTCAAGAAAAATCAGCACCTGATCGAAAAATTTCTAAAGATCGTGTAACATTCATGCCTCAAATCCAAGCGCCTTTAAGAATGCTACGTTACCGGTCAAATATAAGGCAACTAGCAAAGGATGGATAACCAGAACATTTGTTTTAGAATGGTATAAGACGTCAAAAAATTTGTATCCGAAGTCAACAGACCCTATAAAGCTTTGCTACTTATATATAACTTACTAACTAAATGACTCTAGAGTTATGTTTTTGACGCCCAACTGCACAGCGGTTTTACAGCCAATGGATCAAAATTTAATCCAAAATTCAAAAGTTACCTACAGGAGTCTGATGAAGAACATTTCACTCGCAGAACTTCAACGGCAACTTTGTCCAATGAACAAGGAAGATTTGAGAACCATTATAGATTCCTTGCGCATTATAGCTCCAGAAAATGTCTTAAGCCGGGAAGAAATTGTTGACTGGGCATTAGTCAAAAAAGAGGTTTTTATTGACCTAACTGAGGAGCTATTATTTGATGCCTTAAAAACCAAGGATCCGGCAAACAACGATTTTGTAGATGCAACGGTCAGAATATTGTGGCTAAAGTAAAACACGGCGATGTGGGTATTCAGTGGGCAGATGAAATGAATTTTCTTATGCACGAAACTTTGCTTCTAAAAAAGGTGACTATTCAGAAACAAAAAGATTATTTTTTTAAAGCCACTCAAATTTACATATTTTTAATTTATTTACTACATATGTGCTATATAAATTATTTATTAAATTCTTGGGTCACATCCAGCAAAAGTGCATACAAACATAAATTGAAATGAAAGTAAAAAACATAATACACGAGAAACAAAACCTTTTTTAGACAGCAATTTACATATTTCTAACCTATATGGATGATTTGGAGGAGGCATTAAACCGATAATGTACCCTATTTCACGAGTAGCCACACATAATTCTGATGGATCCGTCAATGACAGGTAGTCAGAGCCATATTTTGATTTGGTTTTTGTACGCTAGTTCATTTGCTTACAAAATAAAACGCTAGAAACAAGTTTTACTAGATTTACACCAGATTCATTATTGCCAACGTCGCAGACTAACACAAAAATGTCACTTGTTGGTCAGCTGTTCACCTCAGTAGACGTCAAAGCGTGATGAATACTCGGCAAATATGGTATAATGTAGAGAAACTTATGAAAAAATTATTACCAACGATTCATCATAATCCGATGGCAAATACGACAGTGATTTGCATCAGCAACCATAGAGTGCATATCATAGAACAGCATAAACTGATGCGGCGGTGGTGATAAACTTTTACAATTACTCTACTAGCGCCATGCGTCTACAGTGTTGGTTGTTGTTCCCGAGAGTATTCCAGCGTAAAGAGACGACATAAATCATTATTATCGTTAGTGGAAGAGATTTTAATGGCCAGATATTATTTCGTATTAAGCGCCGACACCGTGAATTGTTATGTTCAGGAAATATTATTGTATGAAGGAATTCTCGGCCGCTATAATCCATCGTTATACACTGGTCAACAGCCGGATTAAACAGAGATTACTATTGGATTGAATTGGAAATTATGTTCTGGACAGGAGTCACATATTTTAATAATGCTTTTGTGGTGTTCGACTAATCGAGATGCAACAAGGATGGATAGTATAGTAAAGACCATAATGATACAAGACAAAGCGTATGAGAATGTCGAGGAACAAAGTGTTTCTATTGAGCATTGTTTTGCTCTGCGTTAAAGTTGTGTAGGTCAGTAGCTCTGTCAGGATTGGTTGCTCCGATACCATAACAAGTGAAGGAAGAGGAACGGAACAAAAAAGAAAAGAGAAGATGCAGAGGAAGAAAATCCTTAGATCAAAGCTGTCAAATCTATTAGAGAAGAGTAAGTTGAGTTCTTAGACATAAACCTACTGGAGACTTCCTTCAGCTTCAAATCCCTTACAGTATACCATTGTACCACTGTACACGTGTTATCGCAGCATAACCATCGTTCAAAGACCTCTTTCTTTCTTATGAGCAGCGACAATCACAATAATTGATTAGTTATGTCTTGTTTAGCCCGTATATGCCTCGGAGAGGAAGCATCGTAATAAAAATACGACACCGGACATGTCGACGAAAAATTTTTATAGCCCGACATTAAACGTTGGTCCTAAGCGCGTACAGCGGTGGCAGTAAAATGAGTTGTTGGAAAAATTATGACCAGCTCCTGCGGACCGTGAGCAGTAAGGGGGTCTCGTGTCTGATATCTTTAGAATTTTAACGGCGGCATTACTCATATAGCGGTTAGTGCAAAATTAGGATGTGGGAATTTTTTATTTTCAGGACAGTATAAAAGTGAAGTACATGAGTGTCATATGTGAATGTCATTAAACGTTAACAATGAGCAATTTTAAGAGATAAAACGTGATGAACCGCGCACGGATATTATGTAAAAACGTCAAAAAACCTATAAGATTTGCAGACTAGGTAGTTTTTAGGGTGCAAACAGTCATTCCACGTTTGCTAACTACGATCGTTGTGAGCGTCCATCTATGGAGGAATGGCTCAACTACACGAACTCGCATTGTTGGTTGCATATGTTTTGTGAAGGCGAGTGGTCTATAGTTTTCATCTCCGAGTCTCTGAGAAGAAAGTTGGTTATTGGTTGAATAGCAATATTGCATCTGGATGATTGTGTGTATTGGTCTTCATGTGTATGAAATCGGTGATATTTGCTGTGTGAGGAAATCATTACTAAATATGCTGCCAATGAAGTATATCTATTAGCTGTGCTCGATGGGTTATTTATATGTTGTCCTTTCAGATGATAGCTTATATTTGAAGTTACCAACTACGATTTTTTATGTTTTTTTTTGTGTTTCCAGAAACTTTGTGCCAGAATTACGGGAAAACAGCACCACGCCCGCGTTGTGTGTAATTACTGTTAGCAGGTATATGACTTGTAATTCGACAGTGTCCAGTGAATATAGTTACATATTTCTTATCTTCGACTGTCGAACGCAGAGGTACCACCCGGCGGATCTCGTAGGCGGAGCCACAATGTGTGCATGTTGCATGCACACGTGTTCCCTCGCCAGAGTTCGTGTGGTGTTCTCTCTTTCCCATGTATCCCCCTATAGCGCCGCGGTACCCAATGGGTGCTTAGGCCT